GTGAAGCCCCTTCCTACCTCTCTAACACCAGCCCTTCTGCTCCCTTCAATAAGGACCCTTGAGATGGCACCGGGCTCTCCCAGATGGTCCCGGACAATCTCTCACCTCACGATCCTTAACCCACTCGTGTCTGCAAAGTCCCTCTTCCTATGTGAGGCGGCCCATTCCCTGGTCCCAGGGAATAGGATGTGGCTATCTTTGGGGGTGGTGTTATTCTCCCTGCTCTATTATGAATTAAACATTCTTTCCTGCAGTGCGGCTTTTTTTTTTTTTTGCTATAAGGTACATGCATTCGCCAGAAAGACAGAGAGAGACAGAGAGACAGAAAGCAAGAAATCACTCTCAGGGAGGATGGCCACACTGCAATCCTTTCTTCTCCATTCTCCTCTTGGGATCTTGAGTACGCATGCACACGCACCCAGCATGAGTTTAAGCCACCGGGTCCAGGACTTGAACTGCAGTCAACTACATGGGAGTCCAGTGATGTAGCCATTACACCATCTGCTGGTCCCCCTGCAGTGCAGCTTTGACCTTGGGGTTTTAGGCTCCAACCAGTTACTGAGTTTGTACAAAAAACTTACTGAGCAACTGTCTTGAGCCAGGACCTATGCTGAGTGTTAGAAACACAGCAGTGGATCCATGACTACTGCCAGGACACAACCCATGGGAGAGATACAGGTGGTCCTCTTTGCTCCACCCAGCCCTATGTGAAACCCACCTTGGGTGCTGGCCTCTTTGGAAAGTTCCTACGTACTATTGTCCCCACTTCCTGCCCTATCAGTGGAAAAACATGGACGGCGCTGTGATCTGTTAACCTTGGGGCACTTCTTCTGACTGCCGGGTGTCCAGGGGGCCTTCTGCGGGCATGTAGGGTGGCAAGTGACTCCTCTCGGTGCTTCTGGTTCTTGCACACACAGGCTGAGAGCAGAAAGGTCGAGGCCACTCTGAAAGTCAACCAGAAAGTTGTGCTGCATGTAAAAGGTTTGCACTACGACAGATCTCAGCACGGGGAGATCCGACACGCCCTGGCCCTGGATGCAGCCCACTCTTCCCAGGTACCCATCCCAGGCTGGGCAAATACTGCTTCGTGGCTCCAAGCAGAGTTCACAATGGCAGGAATAAAGGACACTGCCTGTCTCTCCCAGCTGAGCTTCCCCCAAGCCCTGAGCTTGAGTGGGGACATCGCCTTTAGACGGAATCTCCAAGGAGTGTTTGACTTTGGCATGGATGCGCGAGCTGCCATCAACCACAACATCACATCCCAGGTCAGGAGGCTGAGGGAGGAGTGGTCTCAATATTAGAGTGAAGGTGGGCCCTGTCTGGGTTGGATGGGCAGTGGCGAGGTGGCCCTGGAAAGCCACCCATACAACCCTTATTTGGTAGTGTGCATGTGATGAGTCAGGATTGCTGACTGCGTACCCAAATGGAAATTCATGCCGCAGTTCATCATGGCTCTGCTCCATGTAGTCACTCAGGGATCCAGGCTTCCCTACTTGTGGCTCTGCTCCAACTGGCAGCTGAGGGCAGAGAAGGAGAACTCTGCAGGTGTTTATGAGCCAGGCCTATAGTAGCATATGTCACTCTTGCCCTGTTCCTCAGGCCAGAACTCATCACAGGGCCCCACCCTGCTGCAAGGGAGGCTGGGAACTGTAGTTTCAGCTGTGTCCAGGAGGAAGAAGAAATACTGCATACGTGGTGAATACATAGTGCCCACTGCAGGTGTATTGCCCTCCCCTTCCTTCCCTCCTTCCTTCACCACAGAGGCTTCTCTCTGCTGTGTGCCAGGCTGTGTGCTCGGTACTGGTTTTGCACAGGTGACCCTGTTTCTCATCTCTAAGGAGCTTTCAGTGTAGTGGGTTTTTAGCTTTATAAATTCAAGTTCAGTTCCCAGCTCTACTCCTGACTAGCTTTGTGAACTTAGGTAACTCACGGAGCCCCACTGAGCCTCCATTTTGCTATATGGGAGACGGGGTAACAATACTAAGCCAGCAGAGTAGGGACGGGGTTAAACGAGGTGACGATCAAACAGTGCGGGTCACAGCCAGGGTCAGCTAGAAGGCGGCATGGTGGGGTAGGCGTGTGCAGGCGCTACAGCAGGAAGCCAGGGACTGGAGAGTCTTCCCAGCACGGGCCTGGGCCTCCCTTCCCAAGCCTCCCTCCCACTAGCACAGCCTGAGTGAGTCAGGACCAGGGGTGGTGGGGAGATGGAGGCGTCTGATGTTTCCTGTTGAACCTGAGCTTTGCAAACTCTGGGGTGACGTGTCACTTCTCGGGTACTCTGCCAGCCCCCTCCTGGGCTTCTGTTCCCACTGATCCCCTCCTTTGACTCCCCTCCCGACAGGCCTTGGTCCAGCTGAATGGATCTCACTCCCATGTTGTGTTTTCCTTCCTGCTCGGACATCCCCGTGGGCTGGCGGCTCCTCCACGCTTGCAGGTACCGATGGGGCTCCCTCCAGAGTGACCTGGGATGGCCTCCAAACAGGCAGCTCACTGTGAGGTGGGGCTGAAGGAAGGGAGGCCACGCCAGACTTTAATTTGACAGGTGGCAGGCAGTGTCCCGGAGCCAGCACTTGGAAGTGCTCCAGGAAATGGGGTTTTAGCTCCACAGGGTGAGGGATCACATTTCACACTAGAAAATAGAAACAGAATTTTCCTCCAAGTCCTGCCCTGTATTTGGATTTGGGAGAAGCTGTGTAAGCCTTCCAAAATGCATTTTGATCAAGGGCATTGTTCTCAGTGTTGGTTAGAAATAGTGAAGTGTTTCACTCTATAAGGAAATAAAGGGACTGAAAAAGAAACCCAGGTGGGAAGGCAGTGCTCCCCTCTCCTGGGGCTGGGGACCGAGAAAGCCTCACATGTGTGTGCTTCATTGAGCAAGTGGTGTGTGGTGTGTGCACGGAGTTAAGCAGGAGAGGCGTGGAGTTGGCTGTGTGAACGGGTCATACCAACAGCGCTGAGACCTCAGAGAGGTGGGGCAGACTTGACTGACAGGAGTTTACACACCTGTGTACCGAGCCCTGTGCTGGCGGGTTGCAGAAGTGCCAGCAGGCCGAGTTTGGCTCTGAATGGAGGAAACGGATGATTCCGGGATGTACGTGTTTTCACGTGTCACAGCTCTGAGATTTCGACACCTGCTTCACATGGACACAGGTCGTCATTTGCTAACAGGCTTTTTAATGCGTTTGTGACCTTTCATAAAATCAGGGTCATCTGGGAACCAGCAGTTGGCGTAATGGCTATATCGCTGGATTCCCACGTAGTCGACCACGGTTTGTATCCCGGACCCGGTGGCTTAAAACTCACGCCGGGTGCGTGTGCGTGCGTGCCCAAGATCCCGAGAGGAGAATGGAGGAGAAGGGATTGTGGTGTGACCATCCCCCCTGGGGGGTGATTTCTCGCTTTCTGTCTCTATGTCTCTCTCTGTCTGTCTGGAGAGCGCACGCGCCCTACAGTGAAAATCTCTCAAAAAAAAAAAAAAATCAGGGTCATCTGAGAGCCACAGCATCTGGGTTTGGGGCAGGGCTGTCACTGTGACCGCTGTAGCAGCAGAGGCACAGGCTCCGTGCACTGGCTAGCACCGGGTCCGGTCTGGTGAGAGAGCGCTCATGCACGCCAGGTCAGGGAAGAGCAGGTTTAGCACCTACGGAGAGGCAGGAGCCTCAGACCCCCGGGACTGCCCCCCCCCCGAGCTCGCGAGAGCAGCATGGGGTGGACGAAGTCTTACCTGCATGTGCCCCACTCGCATTGCCACGGAGAGACACGGACAGGCAGCCTGCCCTGGGTTTTATACCACGGGCAAGAGAACGCTCTGGGCTCAAGCATTGAAGGACGCCCTGTTTCTAGGGAGGACAGAGCTTGGACAGCGGTGGCAGGCCCCTCCCCATGTCAGGACATTGCATTCCCTCAGATGTGATGGTTCTTGAGAACATCAGTGAGAAAAAGGGCACCCGATGGACTGTCCCACGGGAGCTGACGTCTGCTGAGTTAACTGTGTGCCGGGCTCTGTCCTAAACGCGGCACACGGACCTCTGGCGCCTCAGGATGCTGCTGTCCTCCTTGCGGGAGAGGACCTGAGCCCTCGAGAACGACGTGCCTTGCTCGAGATTACTGAGCTCAGAAGTGGAGGACCTTGGTGGGAAGCCAGGAGTTTGGGCGCGGGGCTCAGGCTACACCCTATACTTACCTGAAATTCGGAATGCGTCCACCTGGAAGCTTGGACTCTGGGTCACCTACTAGGTTCAAACTTAACTTTTATTTATTTATTTTTCTTTTTTCTTTTTTTTTTTTTTTTTTGAGAGGTTTTTGCTATAGGGCGCATGCGCTCGGCAGACAGACAGAGAGAGAGAGACAGAAAACAAGAAATGATCCTTCAGGGGGGATAGCCACACGGCAATCCCTTCTCCTCTATTCTCTTCTCGGGATCCTGGGAACGCACGCACATGCGCCTGGCATGGGTTTTTATTTATTTATTTGGAGAGGTTTTTGCTATAGGGCTATGTGCTTGCCAGACAGACAGAGAGAGACAGACAGAAAGCGAGAAATCACCCCCCAGGGGGGACGGTCACGCCGCAATCCCTTCTCCTTCGTTCTCCTCTCGGGATCTTGGGCATGCACGCACACACACCCAGTGTGAGTTTTAAATCACCGGGTCCAGGACTTGAACCGCGGTTGGCTACATGGGAGTCCAGCGACATAGCCATTACGCTAACTGCTGGTCCCCACACTTAACCATTTTTTAGAACCAGCAGAAGCCTGTTCACACTTTCTCGTGGTTGAATGGAGGTGGGTGGCGGGCAGGGGGCTCCTTCTCAACCTTTCTCCCCATTCTTGAGCTGCCCCAAAGTATCTTTCCACATCAATGTTTGCACCATTATTTTCATCTTTCCCACCAAAAATCCCTTTTGGGTGTTGTTTTTCCCAGTTGTCTTCCCCTAAGAAAGTTTAATTCCACTTGTGTATATATTTCTGTGATGTACCAAATGCATATACATAAAAGAGCCATGTTTTTGCCCAACCCTCAGAACCAGTGTTTGCCCCTCTGGGGTGATATTGCCCCATTGAGAGTGCGTGTTATTATGGGCCCGTAGGGTGTGCAGAGGCCACCGGGGAAACACCGCAGTAGCTAGGGGTTTTTAGCCCATGCTGGTGCAGATCTGGTGAGGCTCAGGCCTCCTGGCCCATCCCCACCCCCACCTGCCTTACTGTGCCCAGGTTGCACCGGGCAAAATGCTTGCCTCAACCTGAACCCAGTGCGACCTCTCTTTTTGTACCAAGACGCCTTCCCTTTTGTACCCCAGAAACCTGGGTATCCTCCACTTCCCAGGAAACACTGTTTGGGGCATCCTTTCTGTACTGAGATAGAAAGGGGTTCTCTCTGTCCCCTACCTGTCCCCTTCAGGTACCAGCATGTGTTATAGGACCAGGGTGGCATATGCGACTGCCTCTGAGCCTCGCTTTCTCTGTTTATAACATGGGGACTCCCACTTTACACGTGGTAGAGAGGATGAGATGAGACTCATTCCTAGCCAGGAGCTGGGCTCAGGGAACGCTGTCTCTGCCTGGTTTCTCTGCCTGGTTTCTCTGCCTGAGTGTTTGCTGTCCACTGAGCTGAAGCAGTTCAGGAAGGCTCCCTGGAAGAGGAGTCCCCCCATAGCTTTCCACAGACCCTTCCTCTCTTTTTCTGTGTCTCAGCCTCCTCCTGCCTCCTTACAGGTCCAGGGGGCTGTGTTTCGCCCCAAAGAGCGCAGCCTCCACGGCTCCCTGTCTGTGCACGTCTCTGGTCGGGAGATGGTTCTGCTGGAAGTCAACGCCAGTCTGGATGGCCGGAGAAGCAGCTGGGGCTGGGGCATGGGTGTCTTCCTCCACCAGGAAGTCCTCAGGGCCCCCACATTGGCTCAGCTGCAGCTTTCCAGCAAGATAACCCCTTCAAGGTAACAGTCCACAGGGAATTTGCGAGTGGGCAAAGGTGGTGTCCTAGGAGACGAGGCGCCTTCTTCCGTCACTGTGAGACCAAGGCTGAGGGACCCTGCTGGTGCCATTCTTGGTTTTAAGGAATTGAGGAATGGAAAGGAGGGCAGTCGGTTTTCTCATTTTATCTTTCATTAATTTTTCTCTTTTATTTTGTTACGAGAGCATTCCCTGTAGACGACTGAGAGGTTATACTGTATACAGGGCCAGTCCTGCGGCCCCACAGCTGAACTCTGCATGGAGGCCTGCACCCGCGTGGCTGACCGCCTGCCTCAGCCTCCTCGCTAGCCGACCATCGGCCCATGCCACCTTGCCCTGACTTTTTAGTTGGGGTGGGAGTCAAACCTGGGTCTCCCATGTGGCCCCAGCCTGCTATGCTGCAGAGTCCAGAGGCTGGGTCCTGTGCCTCAGTTTCCTGACCTGCTCCTTAGGGTGTCCTAAGGAGGACTGAGTGGAGCTGTGCACACCCAGCCAGGGCAGGGAGCGTGCTCAGGAGCTGCTGCTTGTGCAGGAACAGGAAGGCCCACTACTCCCTGCTGTGCTCCTGGCTTGCGACACGGAGCATTCTTGGACAGGCGTGGGCACGTGGGGGCGGCCTCCCCACAGGCGACCCCTGACAGACACCAACCGAGTGCCCTATAGCTCGACTCAGCTCTGACACTGTCCTGGAGATGGCACCAGGACCCAGGTTCCAGCTCAGTCCCACCGTAGACACTAGTGGCGAGGCCCAGGTAATGCCTGTGCTTCTGACTGACCACTTGTAAATCGGAGCTTCCCGTGAACACCACCCGCAACCCGCCTGCCGTTGGAACACTCGCCAGGGCAGCGTACGGCACCGGGAACACTTCCCTTACGCTTACCCATTTATTATATAAAGGGCGACTCAGGAACAGCCAGAGATGCACGGGCCAGGCGTGGGGAGGGGAGGTGGCGCTCTGTGCCCTCTCGGGCCACCACGCTCCATATGTCTAGTCACTCAGAACTCCCTGAACCCCTTGGTCCAGAGACTTTTATGGAGGTTTCATCATGTAGGCATGATGGATTATTTATTTTCCAAAATATGTATTTGATTTATTTAGTTTATTGCCAGAGGGCACACATGCTTGCCAAGAGTGGAGAGAGGAGAGAAGGCATGGGGTGAGCATGCCACAGCCATTTCCTGCCTTTCTGCATCCCCTCAGAATTTGGGGCATGCACACACACACCCAGCATGTTTCTCGAGCCACCGGGCTGGGACGTGAACTGCAGTTGGCTAGGTGGAATCTAGCTGCTTTAACAATGTGCTACAGGGCTAGCATGACACGATAAGTATATATTTTTAACATTTTGCTGTAAGGTGTGCACGCTTGCCGGAGACAGACAGAGAGAAACTGAGAAAGTCTCCACCCCAGCGGGGGCTGGAGGATGGCCACGCTGCAATAGCCACTTCCTCTCCATTCTCCTCTTAGGACTTGGGGTATGCATGCACATCTACCCTGCATTTTTCAAGTCGCTGGGTTCAGGACTTAAGCCATGCCGTTGGCCATGTGGGGTCCAGCCACCTTAACCACCACGCCGCTGACTGAGCCTGGTGTAATCAATGAACCCACTCCCTAGCCCCTCTCCTGTTCTCAGGGAACCTGGGATGGGGCTGGAAGATCCATGCTCTAACACGGCTTAGTCTCTGTGTGACCGGTTCTGATCCAGGAACCCACCAGGAGTCACCTCATCAGAACAAAAGGTGCTGCTGTCAGCCAGGAAATTCCCAGGGATTGGGAGCTCTGTGTCACCAGTCCTTGTTACAGCACACCACACTGCTGCTCCGAGGATAGCACTCTGGCACATGCTGGGGCTCCGTTAGGTACGCCCTCTGCCATCCAGTTTTGCTTCCAGCTCTGGCGTGGATTCAGGGAAACCCAAGGCTGGGATAGGTCTTAGCTAGCCTGGTCCCCAGCTCTCTGTCCGCCCATCTGTCGGATCACCCATCCTGATCCCAGTCTATAAAGGATTTGAGGCAGATTAAGAAAGTGCACATTATTCCATGCCAGGAGTTGGCACACTTTCAGTAAAGGGCCAGATGGTACATATTTTCAGGTCATATGGTCTCTGTCACAATACTCCACTCTGCCATTGTGGGACAGGAGCGTTGTCCACAATTTATAAATCAGCGCACATGGGTGCGGTCCAGTAAAACTTTATTCATAAACTGGTGGGCTGGTCTTGGTCCACAGCTATAGTTTGTCCATCCTCATTTTAGATTTTCAAAGAGTGTCGGGCAGCTAGGAAGAAGAGAAAAGAAAACTAGGAACAGTAGTAAGGCTCACAATGCGACATTAGTGAACAAAACACACGCCATGTGTATTTGGCTCTGAGCGTTCTAGTAGCCATTGCAAAAAGAGAAAGCAGCCAGTGGTATTACTGTAGTGGCCATAAGGAAACACACACACTCATACTCGTGTTTGTGTGCACCAAGAGAAGCAGGGCTGAGTGTGTTCCCGGTGTTGATGTCAGGGGAAGGATCTCCCATGGTGTCATATAAAGGACACTCTGTGATAACAGGAGCCGTGTTCCTGTCTTGGTTCTCCAGGAAGGTCAACAGCAGGCTTCCTGGAACTGTTCCTTTTCTCACCCGGCACCACAATAGCGAGCTATTGACAAATCGTTATTGACTGGGAGCAAGCACTTTATATATTCCGGCGGTCACTCAGTTCTTTTGAAAATCCTTACTTACTCAGTCTCTTTATAATCGGTCAGTTCTTATGTTTTATCCCTTCTGTAGTCAGTGTGGTGAGTTGTGCATTTGTAGGTATTTGTCCATTTCATCCAGGGCATCTAATTTGTTGAGATACCGTTTCTCATTGAGTAGTACTTAATTCTGTAAGGCTGGTAGTGATTTCCTCTATTTTATTTCTGATACTAGTGACATGAATTTTCTCGGTCAGTACAGCAAGGTTTATCAATTTCGTTTATTTATTTTATTCATTCCTATTCATGATGGAGAGAGTGTGTGCGCAAGAGAAAGAAAGGGAGATGGGAGAGAGAGGTGCACATCCCCCAGCAGGCTCTGGTCATACTGAAATCCTCTTCCCCCAGACCTCCACCTGCTCAGAATCTTGGGCACTCACTTAGATACTGCTGGGTTTCAAGTCAACCAGTTTGGAACTTGAACCACAGTTGGCCACGTGGCTTCCAGCACTGCAGTGTGGCATGCTACTGACTGGGCCCAGAGTTCATTTAATTCTGAAAACAAACCTGTATGTTAGGTACTACTAGCTCCTTATCTGCGCTTCGGGCAACTTATTTACTTTCTCTGTACTTCTGAGTCCTCAGCTGTAAAGACAGGGATCCCAATAGTCTGAAAACTCACAGGATTTTTTTTGGGAGGAACTGAAGTATGGTCAGGATGGGAGAATGCTGAGCTGCATTGTGCAAAATCGTTGGTTCTTTGGGTCCAGATCTTTAAAATTCGAGCCCTGTCCCTAGGTGCAAAATAAAGCCACAACCACGATAAAAGTAGGTAGAAAAGAGAATTTAGTAGGAAAGCTAGATTTTTAGAAAAGAAGTACACCCAAAAGACTTTCGGGTGGCCAGGTTGCTAGGTAGCAACTGCATTTAGAACTACTTAGGTGTTATTTTTATTGCCAGAGGTGGTGATGAATATTTAACAGTGGAGGTCTGTCGTACTATGTTCTTTGTTAGAATTCATGAGCTTTCTTCTGCACGTATGCAGCTCTCTCACAGGTGAAGAATTTGAGGAATGTGATTACTAACTGCACATGCCCAGTGTGAGCCATGATGATAGGAGCGCCCTTATTTGGATGTCCTGCCCAATTAGTTTATTGCCCCAGTGGGAATCAGGATCTTGACCAAAATGTCTGGTTGGGTCTTTCTGCATTTATGAGAAATAAGAGGGGAGTTTATAGTCATCCCTATGTGTCTTCCTCGGGTACCAAGGAAGAAAAATGGGATTTGCCTCACTTCCTGGCTCTAGGAGCTGGGCAGGAAGAAGGCGTTTCATGGAGCTCTGGTTGTAACTCCTGATAAATTAGGATTGATGTGACGTGGACCCTGCTGTTTCCTGAGGGCCGCCCGCTCAGTTCTTAGCTGACTGCCTATCGCGGTATCTCAAGTGCATAGTGTTCTCGTTAGCTAATACCATGCCACCAACCGCCCCAGAGCTCAGGGGTTAAAGTAACAACTAGTGTTTGCTCACAATTCCACGGGCCAGAGATTCGCACAGGGCCAACACTTCCGGTCTAGGTTGCTTTGAGGCGGGTGTGTGTGGGGCTCATTCTCTGGGTCCCCTGGCTGACATCAGCCTCAGCTGAGTCAATTTCCAGGCAGAGAGTGCATGATCTGGGGACAGGAGGGCGGGAAAGTCTCAGAGGCTTCACTCACGCACCTGCCACTTCAGCGCTACCCATGCGCCCTGCCTCTTTAAGGCTGGGGACTTGCCCTCACCCATTACTGGCAAAGTGGCACTGTGGAAGTGTGAGGGGGGACAGCGCCCATGGAGACACAACCCGTACGGTAGGTTAGGACACATTGGCGTCACTAGCAGCTCAGTGTTTCCATCTGACTCCCACTTTACAGAGGAAGGACTTGACAGGCAGTCGGGTTATGTCCTCGTCCAAGGTCGCACAGTTAGTGAGAGGCCGTTCCAGGGCTTGAACCCAGCTTTGCCTGACCACAAAGCCCATGGTCTCAACCCTCCTTCACTGCCCATATTGGGCCGAAGGCCTAGTGAAAACAGTCCCATGATGGGTCTCACACTGGCCCTTCTGGCCTGGCCTAGTTGCCCGGTGGGAATGGTGCCCTGTGCCTAAGCGATGCGGTGGCTCTGCCCTTTATGGCCCCCTGTCTTCCTGCCTAGGATCCGGCTGCTTTCCAAGGCACTGCTGGACCAGAACGCAGCACAGCTTCTCCTCAGGGCGTCTGAGGAGTGGAGGGGGGGCCGGGTCCTGACCCTGCAGAGCCAGGTCCAGCACACGGTGGCGAGCTGGGCAGCGGTTCCCTCACTCCTGACCCTCACGGGCGTGCTGAAGCAGAAGGAGACACTTCGAGAAGGTGAGGGCCTGGGAGACGCCAGGAGGGCAGGGGCAGTGGCATGGTGGGCAAGCACTTCTGTGGAACCAGAGTAGATGACACGCTACGCAGTCTGTCCCTGCATGTCACCGGGCTATAGTCAGTAGATAGAGGGCTGGAGATGACACCCGTAATGTACACCCTGCCAAAGATCTGCTAACTAAAAACCAAACGGGCCTCCTTATGCGGGGCTGTCAGAGCCCTTGACATGCTAATAGACGTTGAACATCCCGGGGAGGGAGACCTGGGTGCGGTGTTTCCCAAATATATTTAAACATATTTTTAAAAATACTTATTATTATTATTATTATTATTATTATTATTATTTTTTATCTCCTCCTCCATTCTCCTCTCGGGATCTTGGGCACGCATGCACACGCGCCCGGCGTGAGTTTTAAGCCACCGGGTCCAGGACGCGAACCGCGGTCGACTACGTGGGAGTTCAGCGACATAGCCATTACGCTAACTGCTGGTTCCCAAAATACTTATTATTTTGACATAAGTTCAAACTCACAAAAAGTTACAAGAGTAGTTTGAATAATTTCATGGACCTTTGCCTATATTCGCGTTACTCACTTTTTGTTTGTCTATTTCTTCTGAGAGAGGAGAAGGAGGGAGACAGCCCAGCAGTGCCTTCTTGGCCTGATCGCACCCTGACCCACCCCATGGGGCAAGGTCACATCGCACTCCCGGTTCCTCCATTTCTCCTTCCTGTGAGGATTCCAGGCATGTACGCACGTGCCCAAAGTATTTTTCTTTTTTTTTCTTTTGGAGAGGTTTTTGCTATAGGGCATGTACCTTCACCAGAAAGACAGAGAGAGACAGAGAGACAGAAAGCAAGAAATCACCCCCCAGGGGGGATGGCCACGCTGCAACCCCTCTCTTCCACTCTCCTCTTGGGATCTTGGGCATGCACGCACACACGCTCGACATGAGTTTGTCACTGGGTCCGGGACTCGAACCGTGGTCGACTACATGGGAGTCCAGTGACATAACCATTACGCCAACTGTTGGTCCCACCCAGTATATTTTTCAAGGCGTCAGGGCCTGGATTTGAACCGTGGTTGGCCACGAGGGATCTGGCTTTCTTTGCACGGTACTTAACCACTGTGCTATGGGACTAGTCCATGTAAGTCTTTATCAGATACAGATTCTGAAAATATCCTTTCCTGACTTGTTTCCTTTCTTCTTTTCCCTCTTCTTTCCCTTGTGGTGTGTGTGTGCATGTGTGTGGTGTGTGCTCTGGGGAGCACATATGCCTTAGAGCAAAATTTAAAAACCCTTTTTAAAAAAGGAAATCTGGGGGGCCAGCAGGTGGCGTAGTGGTTAAGGTGCTGGACTCCCACGTGGTCGACCACAGTTTAAGTCTCGGACCTGGTGGCTTGCTCTCTCACTCACTCTTTCTCTCCTTCTCTCATCAAATAAAATAATAATAATAAATAAAATAAATTTTTTTTAAAAAAGGAAATCTTTGCTTAATCTGAGGTTACAAAATTTTCCTACTGGGGTCATTTTTTCCCCTTCTGGGAATGTTACGGTTTTAGGTTTTATATTTAGCTCTACTATCTGTGATCTATTTTGAGTAAGTGTTTATTATGTGACGAGGAAGGGTTGAGGCCATTTTTTAACATATGGATATGCAATCATTCCAATGCTATTCTTTTTTGGAGAGGTTTTTGCTACAGGGCACATGCGCTCGCCAGAAAGACAGAGACAGAGAGACAGAAAGTGAGAAATCACCTCCCATAGGGGGATGGCCATGCCGCAACCCCTTCTCCATTCTCCTCTTGGGATCTTGGGCATGCATGCACACGTGCCCGTGTGAGTTTAAGCCACTGGGTCCAGGACTCGAACCGCAGTCAACTCCATAGGAGTCCAGCAACATGGCCATTACGCTAACTGCTGGTCCTCCAATGTTATTCTTGAAAAGATTGCCTTTTCATCGAATTACTCGGCGCCTTGGTCACATCAGTTGCCACCTCCTGGGCTGCATCCTGCTTTGTGGATGTGACTTCGTTTTACCAGCCGGGTAGCGTGGCGCCGTCTCCCTCTGGCCATCCGTTGGGAGGAGGCGGTTACTGCCCTGCGGCACGTGGTGGCGTGGGGCCCCTCAGACCCAGAGGAGTGTGTAAGAGGATCCTGACTGTTGGCCTAGAAAGTGCTGCATGATTGGTCAGCGTCTAGTACAGGTCACGTGACCAAGAGCACAGGACAAGGATGCAGAAGGGCCACAGAAGGTTCCCTGGGGGAGGCAACTCTAAGTCAAATCTTTAAGGACAGGAGGGAGAGGTGAAAAGCCACTTGGACTCCATTAAGAGAACCCCATAGAATCAGGGGCCCTAAATAAAAGCGAGAAACCCCCAATGTGAGTTAAATGTGGGCACGGGGGTGGCCTCGGGGTGTGGAATCTTCTTCCCTGGGTGGAAAAGACCCCGGAGCGATCTGTCCCTAGAGTTCCAGATTAGGGTCTCGGGGCTCCCAGACCTCAGGATCGTGGTTGATATGGGAACTGCTCATCACCGAGCCTGCGGCTCCCTGGAGCAGGGGTTGAGCACCGGGATTAGCAGCCCCCCTCATCCGGCTCTTTGCGAGTCGCCCTACTGTGTGAATTAGCCCGCTTGGTCCTCTGCCCTTCTGGGAGGGAGCTGGCATCACACGGTCCATTTCATACAACCACATGAGTCAGAGTCACGACGCTGCGAACCTAGCGATTTCCACCCCGGGGTTCTTTGCCATCCTCCCCGAAGCATCCCCGTCCCCGGACTGCCCCCTCCACCCCTACTCTGCACTGCCCTCCCATTTCTGCAGGTGCCATTAAGATCAGTGCTGACTCAGCTGTGCTGGGTTTCCTCCTGCGGGACAAGCATGAGAAGGCCTGGAACAGCACTAGTGTGCACAGCGTGACCTGCGTCCTCACCCAGAATGGCAGCCAGGCCTGGCCAGGACAGCTCCAGCTGAGGGGGCGGCTGCAAGTCCAGACGGGGAGCCTCAGGGGCCGGGCCGGCATCCGGGCTGACGCCGCCAGCCTGGCTCTGGGTGGAGCCTGTGCCTGGGACCTTGGGCACGGCCAACTGACAGGCAGCCTGAGACACAGCCTCAGTTCACTGTGCACCGCAGGTAGGAGAGGGGGTCCAGCCCAATGGCTACTGCCCCCATGGACTCCCCAGTTCAGTAGCCACGGGGTGGAAATAGCTACAGACCCAAGCCCAGCTCTGTTTCTTCCTCACCAGCTTCTCCCAGCACCACCCCCTTCTCCTGTGGGCTGGACACAGGGGGCAGGGGCCGCAGTGTGGATGCAATTCCCATCCTTCCTGGGATTCCTGCCCCGTCCCAGTGGTCTGTGTGGTGCCCGAAGCCTGGCCCAGCCTGCCCGGGAACACGGTTGCAAAAGCCCTGGCAGCCCTGGGCCCGGTATTGGCGTGGTTCCCTGCAGGCGAGGGAGCCCGAAGGTCAGCAGCGAGGGGAGAGCAGAGGACCCGGCCCGGTCCCCTTGTTCCTTTTGTGAGGCTGGTCCTCGGGAGCTGGGAATCCCGAGGGACATGGACTCACGGCTGCCCCCCGTGGCTGTGCACAGCGTGACCTGCGTCCTCACCCAGAATGGCAGCCAGGCCTGGCCAGGACAGCTCCAGCTGAGGGGGCGGTTGCAAGTCCAGACGGGGAGCCTCAGGGGCCGGGCCAGCATCCGGGCCGACGCCGCCAGCCTGGCTCTGGGTGGAGCCTGTGCCTGGGACCTTGGGCACGGCCAACTGACAGGCAGCCTGAGACACAGCCTCAGTTCACTGTGCACCGCAGGTAGGAGAGGGGGTCCAGCCCAATGGCTACTGCCCCCATGGACTCCCCAGTTCAGTAGCCACGGGGTGGAAATAGCTACAGACCCAAGCCCAGCTCTGTTTCTTCCTCACCAGCTTCTCCCAGCACCACCCCCTTCTCCTGTGGGCTGGACACAGGGGGCAGGGGCCGCAGTGTGGATGCAATTCCCATCCTTCCTGGGATTCCTGCCCCGTCCCAGTGGTCTGTGTGGTGCCCGAAGCCTGGCCCAGCCTGCCCGGGAACACGGTTGCAAAAGCCCTGGCAGCCCTGGGCCCGGTATTGGCGTGGTTCCCTGCAGGCGAGGGAGCCCGAAGGTCAGCAGCGAGGGGAGAGCAGAGGACCCGGCCCGGTCCCCTTGTTCCTTTTGTGAGGCTGGTCCTCGGGAGCTGGGAATCCCGAGGGACATGGACTCACGGCTGCCACGTGTGACCGGTGTTAGGTGGGGCCAGGTGCAAGGCCGTTTGCAGGCGATGTGGCCAGTTTCATTCGGTTCCGCCTGGTGCACCTGCGGGCAGTGGGCTCAGGGGCTCCAGAGAGCGGCTGGCTCCCACCTGCCCTGATGGGGCGGCCCAGGCTGCACTAGCCCTGCAGTGCCTGCTCCTGCCCACGCTGCCCTCTCACCCGCAGGACTCCCCTCCGAGGCGAAGGTGCTCTTGTCACTCACCCACATGGCTCCCAACCACTCAGTGCACCTGGCACTGTGGAGCAAGGAGAGTCGGCTGGAAGCTGCCCTCGGCCTAGAGGGCCCAGTCCCTGGTTCCCTGGGCCGCAGCCTCCACGCCAGCCTCCACCACACCATGGCAGGCCTCAGGGGCTGGGGCCTCCCTTTCTCTGTGGATGGCCACGGGCACTTCCAGGTGGGTGAGGAGGGGGCTGGCCTGGGCCCCACCTGGGGGGCAGTGGGGCTGAGGGTCACCAGAGCTCTGCTGCTCCACAGAGCACAGCACATGGTCTGGAGGCCGGACTGACAGCTAGTGTGGACGGCAGTGAGCGTCTTCCCAAGACCCCCGAGAGGAGCCCAGAGGGCGCCCTGCCTACACGGCTGGAGCTGAGCATGTGGCCGGTGCTCCCTCCTGGCTGAGCTGGGCGGCCCCTCCTCCCCCTTTGTGCCTCCCTTCATCTGCCCCCTCCCACCTGCATCTCTGGCCCTTGCCCCCCCCTCCCCGCCTGCCTCCCCCTCCCCGCCTGCCTCCTCTCACCCACCTCCCATCCTTCCCTTCATCCACACACCCTCTCCCCTGCTCTACCTTCCACCTTTCCTCCACCCTCCCCTCTCCTTCTCCTCCCCTCCGTTCTGTTCCCCCAACTTCCCCCACCTCTGTATTCTCCACCCCGCTGCCTGTCCTGCCTCCCCACGCCCATACCATGGAACTAGTTGGGCAGCCAGCAGGAGGGAGGGCGCTGGCTCTGGCAGGTTAGATGTGAACCATTGAGGCCTTGCCTGTCAATCCCTGCCCTGGGCAGCCCCTGGAGACCCCCCGGAGGAGGTGCACTCAGTGGCTCCTGGCTTTTCTCTGGATTAAGGAGCAGGACACTGCTCTGTGCCCTTCTGGGCAGCAAGCCCCAGCGTGTGTGGGAGGCGGTGCCAGGTGACCAGGGCCTGGGCCCGGCCAGCAGCCTCCTCACTGCGAAAGTTCTGGCCTTGGGTGGTCACTCACTCTCGGTGCCTCTGTCTCCTTGTCTGTGAGGTGGGTCTGTTAACATCCACTTCCTGTGTGACTTTGAAGCCCACCTGGGGAACCAGTCAGAATGGCCCCCCGGGCCCAGGGGCTCTGCGCAGACCGAGTTTGGTGCTCCTACTCTGTGTGACCCTGGGGCGTAGCGCTCTGGTCTATGCAAACCTTCCTGTGGGGGTCATTTTCCCATGGTGGCTTCTCCAAAGGGAGATGGGTCGGGGTCATGGGACAAGGCCAGTCCCTCCCCAGCCCACTGGTCTCCTGCAGGTCAACTGCAGCAGAGACGCCTTGCTTGCCTGGCCAGCGGGAGACTCCACCAGGCAGCCTCTCGAGGTACAGGGGGGGCTGTCACAGACAGGACAGTGGCTGTGCGTGGTGGCCCACTTTCCACCATACTGACTGCTAAGGGCTGACCGTATGGTCTCCCTGTCTGAGCTGCCACATCTGGGCTCCTAGCTCCAAGGGGGCCCAGCTCACCCTGCGCAGCCTGGTGGGGAGCCCGCCACTGGGCACGAGGATGGCCGGGGCTTTCTGGTGGTCTCCAGGTGGCCGCCATGGGTAGACAGTGCTGGTGTCGGGAAGTGGCTGTGGGAGGCTCCTGGTTCCTTATGGGGTGTAGCCCCCCAGATGCGGCAGGCAGCACCCCCAAGTCCTGAGTATTACACCACCCGGAGGAACATCGGCTTTCATCTGGGGTACAGGGACAGACCACGCAGAGAGGCCCAGGACCCGGGACTAGACGGGGCAAGAAAGGACCGTGGGCACACACATCCTGGGAGGCCCCGAGCTTCCTGGGTGCTCCGACAGTCGGGGCTGGTTTCACCTTTTCAAACTTTTTTTTTTTGAAGTTTCTTTTGAGTGTATGAGAGAGAGACAGAAACAAGCCCCTCCACAGGGTCTCACTCCAGGATCCCCCCCTCGCCAGCCAGGGTCACGGGCTGTGCAGGTCTCCACCATGTGAAGGTCGACCAAGGAACTGAACCCACGGCCTTCCAGGTGGATCCTGCGTTGCTTGGTGCACTGCTGCTGTTCCACCGGGCTGGCCGTCTCTGCTCTTTAGAAAGACGCACCTACAGGGTCAGGGGTGGTGCGCAGGTTAAGGCGCCGGATCCCATGTGGCTGGCGGTGCTGTGCAAGTTCCAGACTTGGGAGCTGGAAAAACACACTGGGCGCGTGCATGTGTGCGTGCCCGAGATCCCAGCAGGAGGATAGAGAGGGATTGCAGTGCGACCATCCCCCGGGTGCGTTCTCACCCCGCCTTGGCCCCGTTTGTCTCTGCTGGTGAGCACAGGTGCCCTATAGCAAATTAAAAACAAAAACAAAGACAGATGCCCTTTGTGGGAGTGGACTGTTGGTGAAGGCTCTGGATGGTTCAGGGAGATGCGGGCCCGGGCTGTGTCACGTGGAGGGGCACTGCCCTGGGTGGGGGTGGAGGTGGGAGGGTGTTGGGGACTTAAGGTCACTGACTTTCTTGCTGAGATCCTGTAGCACAGGGCTGGGAGAAGGGACCCCTCAGCCTCTCTCTCTCTCTCTCTCTGAGGACAGAGTCTGGCTGTGCTGTCCTTGAATGGGTCTCTCCTGGTCCATGCCCACACGGCCAGCCTGCTGGCTCAGGTCTCTTCTGGAGACACCTTTGCCCGAGGCCACGTCCACACAGCCTCTGGCCAGCACACCCTCCTGGAAGCCGGCCTCCAGCACCTGTGGCCCTCACTTCAGGCTCTCGGGGTTGCCTCCAACAACCACGTCCGTGTGTCTGTGGGTGGGAGTGAGCCCCCGTGGGCCCAGCTGAAGGTGGCCCTGGGCCAGTGCATGCTGACCGTCCATGGGGACGTCAAGGCAGATGCCAATGCCACACACAATTGGACCCTCTCTCTGGTGACCCGCTGCCCCTGGATGCAGGTGAGCCGCCTCCCCACGCCCAGCCCCGTGCCCTGGCAGGCTCCCACCTCCCTCTGTGAATCGGCTGCTTCCCGGATGCCCAGTCCTGCGGGGCTTTGTCCTTTTTGCCATCGTCCTTTGAGTTTGGAGACGTGTCGACTCCAAACGCATGAGCCCAAAGTGCGGGCTGCAATGCCTTCTCTCCCTTGGGAGGGCCTCCGAGCCGCCCTCCTCCCTCGGGCTCGGGTTGATTCTTTCCTCATGATGGCGAATGTCCCACTCCTGGGACTGAGGACCTGGTTGCGATCTGTGAATACTGCACGCGACAGCATGTTCACTGAGCCCTACTGCGTCCCGGTGCTGAGCCTAGCCACACGGACGTGCTCCCGAAATCCTTGCCCCGTGGGGATGGGGCTGCTGTGTCCCTGGTCACGGGGGACAATACAGCAGACCACAGGGGCTGGAGTTAGCCCTGTCACTCCTCTGTGGTCCCCTCTGGGGCTGGTCAGTGTTCCCGTGTCACGGCCGTAGAGACAGGGATGCAGGGTCTCTGGCCCTGGCCAGTCACTGATGCTAGTGACCGGTTTCCGATACCCAGCGCTTTCCAGGGCCGACTCTGGGCTAGTGAGTCACAGAGTGAATCGTTTGCCTCTCCCAGTGAGGTACAGTGCTCTGACCGCTCCCCCTTTGGAGAGGTTTGGAGAGCTGATAGCCGCGGGCCCTGAGCTCCGCCCCCTGGAATATGGACCACTTTGCAGTGAGGGAGGTGCTGGGAGAGTTGAGGTCCATCTCTGACTCTGTCCCTTGGCTCTGGGGGTGGCCCTGGCAGAGCTGCCTCTGAGTCCTCCACTCTCCTCATCATCTCAGGCAACAGGTATCCCTCCGGCCCTGCACTCCAAGGGGAGCCTGCACTGGGCCCCCTGCAGGTTCGACCTGGCCTCAAGCCTCCACAGTGACCGTGGAGACGCCCACCTGCAGCTGGCCCGTACCTGCGGGCCCCAGGCCTCGGTCAGTGGGCGCCTGGCCCACACCCTACCCCTGCTGGGCCACCTGGGCCTGCCACCCAGCAGTGCCATCAGCCTGACCACCCGGCCCAGCCCTGCTGCCCACAGCTCCCTGGCCCTCCATGTGGGGCCGTGCCAGCTACAGGGTTCCCTGGAACAGCTCACTGGGAGCCGAAGCACATGGACGCTGGAGGCCGAGCCAGGCTGCCCACTTCTGGAGGTGCGTCGGGAGGGCCAGGTGCTTTATGGGGGTGGGAGGTACAGCCGGGCCCTGTCCACATGAGGCCTGAGCCTGCCTGGCCCCTCCTTCCAGCTGACAGCGGGGACACTCACGCCCCAGTTCCATAGCCTGTTAATGACAGGTGGGGCCCCGAGGTGGTCTGAGCATTGGCTCCTGATATCGGCAGGATGCTGGGGTCATAGGTTAGCAGACAGGGCTGTGTCATGTCTAAGTGGGACTGGGACCGTGCTCTCTCCTTCCTCATCTGTCCCCTTCTAACCGAGCTTCTTGCGGCAGGGGCAAGTCCCATCCATTCAGCACCCCTGAGCACAGCCGGACCCCCCGGGGTGCCCCATCATGGCAGCCCAGTCAACGCTTTCTCACTGAGTCATGAGAGAGGGTGGGACTCATGGGACCCAGCAGCCCTGCCCACAGGGACTTCCTGTGATGACAGGACCGTGCTGCACTGTCCCACGGCCACTGCCTGCTTCAACTGTGCTCACGGCTCAGAGACTGAATCGTGACTGAATTTAACCTGAAGCAGCCCCAAAGGGTTGGTGGCCGTCCTGGGGACAGCACAGGTTTAAGGCGTGAACCTGCCAGGCCAGGCCCAAACCCTAGCTCTGCCGCTTACCTGCTGATGAGCTGGCGGTCTGCCTGCCTCTCGGCATCGCTTTTCTTGTCTGTGATGCGGGGACAGTAACTAATGGTCTCAGCGGGGTCGAATTCTCATAACACACTTAGCACCAGGCCGGCACATGCCAGGTGTTGGCGTGTGCTGTGGTCGTGTTGCTGGTGCATTGCCACCATGAAGGTACCAGGAAGCACAGACTGGGCCTGGGCTGGGGGTGGGGAGATGGGGGCGGATGGTGACCAGCTGGGTCTGTCCTGGTGTGGTCACCCCACCCTCTCTCTGACCCTCTCTCTGGTCCGGCAGAGCCTGGGCCTCCCAGCGGGCACGCAGCTCCGTGGCTCCCTGCGGATTACAGGTGGGGAAGCAGAGGCCACGGGGGCCCTCACTGCAGCAGGCCAGATGGCCTCCCTGACCTTCGCGACAGTCCTGCGCCAGACTGAGGCCACACTCCGAGCGAAGCTGAGGCACACGCTGCCTGCCCTCCGGGCTGTCCCCCGAGAGACCTCGCTTAGCGCCCAGCTCGGGTGGGAGACTGGGCATCGGCTGGGCCTGGGTCTGCAGGTGGGCGCCTGTGAGCTGCGGGGCGGCGGTGAGCTGCAGCTGGACCATGATCTGCGGTGGCATGTGCTGGCCCAGAGCTCCTGTGAGACCCTGCAGGTAGGAGTCGGCCCTCAGGGGCAGGAGAGGGGCCCTGCCTCTAACCACTGGGAAGGTGGGTGGATCTGGGGGCACCAGGGAACAGACCCACTGAGTATTCACTGAACACTGGGAGGCATAGCAGGGAGCGAAGCAGATCCAGATCCTTGGGGATCAGCACCCCCAGGGGAGACGGGCAGTGTGCAGGGTAAGCCAGTGAACCGCAGAGGCCGTTGCCATGGACTGCTGAAGGGAGGCTGGGGAGAGGCGGGGAGTGAGGGGGCAAGTGGGCGTGCAGTTTTGCATTCTGGGGTCAAGGTCAGCCTCAAAGACAGGATGACATCTGAGCCCAGATTTGAAGGAGCCAGGCAGGCGCCCTGTGGGTATCTGGGAATGGGTGGTCTTGGCAGAGGGCATAGCCAGTGCAAGGGCCCTGAGGCACACAGTCAGACAGGGAAGGACATTCTCTAGGACCATTCTCCAGCACACGGATGCTGCAGAAGCAAGGAGCTTTGCTTTACAGGCCAAACAGTCTCTGCTGCAATCACTCAGCTCTGCCGTTGCAGCGCAGAGACCACAGACAGATGTCAATGAATGGGCATGGTGTGTTTCAATACAACTTTATTTATAGCAGGAGGTGTGGGTGTGGCCTCAGTGCTGTAGTTGGCTGGCCCTCGATATATAAAGAGCACACTAGGTGGGAGAAGCCGCTGGATTCAGGATTGGTGGTGGTGGGTGGAAGTTTGGGTAAGGGCGCGCGTGAGAAGGATGAGGCAGGAATGGTGCAGTGGGAAGGCGGAGTTTCCACCCCCTGCAGTGGGAGGACAGTGGGGGCAGCGGAGTAGGACCTCTGATGCCCATGTGGACCCCACCCTGGTTAAGAAGCCCTGCTGCCATGGCTTCTAACCCCCTCTAGGCCCTGGGGGTCCCAGCCCGAGTCGGCAGCTCTGGCTACGTTGTGGTGGACGCCGTGGCATTGGACGCCCAGGCACAGGTCTCCGTGGACACCCACAGGCTGCTGGGGCAGCTCACCCTCCAGAGCACCGAGGTGAGAGTGTGCACGGCTAGGAGTGGGTGGCCAGAGGAGGTGCCGTGTGCACAGGAGGCCCGAGGAGACACTTTTGGACACCCTCTGGATTCCGAAGAGGAGCTCCCAAAAACCAGAGGATTAGGACCCCACGGAGGGCAAAGAGCTCCCAGAGAAATCCCTCGGCTGCCCCAGCCTCCTGGCCCCCATTACTTCTTATGTGCTTTAAAAAGTCCTTGTCTTGAAGAATTTTACACACACACACACACACGCACACACACACACACACACAGCAAAGTGCAGCGGTGGTAACGTACTGAGGGTGGGTTTTCAGACTGAACCCGCACCACCTCCCTCAGGGCACCGAGCGGGGCAGGCACCCGAAGCCAGCCTGGCCCCATCCCTTTACTCACCACCCCCACTCATCACCACTCATACAGCTCGCGGTGGGGCAGCCCCTGTCCGTGCAGGCGGTGTGTACAAGCACACGCGTGCCCTTCTGTGTCGTGTTTGAGCTTCACTCGCACCACGTGGAATCGACGCATGTGCTCCTGCTCCTGGCGTGCCACGGCGTGGCCCCATCCCCACTCGGCCTCCCTGCTGCTGGCACTGCGTAGCATCCAGTCTGTTTTTATTGTATGCTATCTTACTCATTATTCATACACATTGTACATGTTTAGTTATTAATTTTATTTCGGTCATGCCGCAATCCCTTCTCCTCCATTTCTCCTTTCTTCAGGAATTTGGGAACACACAGGCATGGGCCTGATGTGTTTTTAAGCTGCCGGGTCTGGGACTTGAACCACACAGTCAGCCATGTGAGATCCTGCTGCCTTAGCCACCATGCCACCTGCCTGGCCCCTATCTTAAATTTTTCACTGTGGTAAAATACACATAAAATTTACCATGTTAACCATTTAAATGTTTTGCTTTATCTGTCTATCTGTATCTTTCTATCTTTCTATTTATTTATTTATTTTGGAGAGGTTTTTGTTATAGGGCGCATGCACTCGCAGAAAGACAGAGGAAGACAAAGAGACAGAAAGCGAGAAATCACCCCCCGGGAGGATGGCCACGCCGCAATCCCTTCTCCTCCATTCTCCTCTCGGGATCTTGAGCATGCACGCACACGCACCCGACTTGAGTTTAAGCCACTGGGTCCGGGACCTGAACCGCAGTTGACGACATGGGAGTTCAGTGACATAGCCATTACTGTAACTGCTGGTCCCATGCTTTAGATAGATGCTGTGCATGTGAGAGAGTGGGAAAAGCACCCCACAGGACCTGGGCCCGCTGTGACCACCTTCCTCTAGTCCTCCCGCCTCTCACATCTGGGGCACTCGTGAGTGTGCATCCGGCTTGTGGGGATTCGAACTGCAGTCACCAGGCGGGATCTGTCCTCTCTCGAGCAGCACGGTGTGGCTGCACATGGCATTGGCCCCCATAACCACGTCTAAGCGTGCAGCACAGGGGCCTCAAGGACAGCCACATCCGTGTGCCTGCTGCCACCATCCGTCTCGGAACATTTTGCATCTTACACTGAAACCGTGCCCTTTACACACACCTCTCCAGGTTCCCCACCCCGGCCCCGGCCCCAACCATGTGACTCCTTTTTTTGATGACTCTAGGCACCTCACGTAAGTGGAGTCACAGTGTTTGTCCCTTCGACCTCAGCGCCTGGCTTGTTTCACACAGCATGATGTCCTCGAGGTGCCCCCGTGTGGCAGCAGGTGTCAGAACTGCCTACTGTTTATGGCTGCATGAGATCCCAGGGTGAAGGGCCAGCAGGTGGCATGGAGGTTAAAGTGCTGGATCCCACATAGCCAGTCCTGGACCTGGTGACTTAAAAATCATTCCAGATGGCGACCAGCAGATGGCATAATAGTTACATTGCTGGACTCCTATATAGTTGATCACAGTTCGAATCCCGGACCAAGCAGCTTCAAACATGTTAGGTGTGTGTGTTTGCGTGCCCAAGATCTTAAGAGGAGAATAGAGTAGAGGGGATTGTGGCATGGCCATTCTCCTGGGGGGTGATTTTTCGTTTTCTGTCTGTCTGTCTCTCTGGTGAGCGCATGTACTCTATTACCCTATAGCAAAAACCTCTCTCAAAAAAAAACAAAAAAAAAAAAAAAAAAAAAAAAACCCCATCCAGTTCTAGGACTAAAAAAGAAAAGAAAAGAAAAGAAAGAAAATTATGCCAGATGCATGTGTGTGAGTGCCCAAACTTCCAAGAGGAGAACGAGAAGGGATTGTGGTGTGGCCCTCCCAGGCCCGCGAGTCCTTGTCTCTCTCGCCCCATCACAGACCCAGCAGGACCTGGACGTGATGCTCACACACAACCTGCCCCAGGCTGGACCCTTAACCCTCCCAGCCCGGGTCTCACTGGGCCTGGCCACCGAGAGACGTGGGCCCAGCTACAAGTGCACCCTGCGAGTCAGCGCGGACGGCAGACAGGTGTGGGCTCTGCCAGGGGGGCCCTGGGGGGAGGCCTTGGGGCTGCGGGGACAGCCCAGCCTGATGGCTCAGGTCCTGTGGTCATCCAGGCCAGCAGGCATCAGAGGACTTCACTTTCATCGGGTGGCCAGAGCACATGTCCCTCGATGGTCCCCTGGTGCGGGCACTGTGGGAGTGTCTGGGGGCCCCTGGGTGGGTCTCGGTGAGCTCGGGGAATGCTGGGAGTCACTGCAGCCCCTCTCCCTCACTTGTCACTCATTCTACCTGTTCGGAAGTACCGTGGAGACAAGGGGGTGGGAGATGAAGATTCCGACCTCCCTCCCCTCGGTGTCCACATCCGGAAGTGGGTGATAGCGCCCGAGCCTGGCCAGTTGTCCCTGCCCGGAGGCCGCTACACGTGGCCCTTCCTCCTGAGCTGCCGGCCCAGCAGCCCTGGTCTCTCTCTTCGTCTGTGTTCACGTACTCGGAGGGCTGGTCCAGCCTCTCGTTTCAATGCCCTCTCTGCCGACAGCGACCCCACCTCTCCCTGTAGCGGGGCCTCACTCCTGGACCCCAGGCCTGTAAGTCCAAGCCTCCGCGTGGAGGCCTCGTGAGCACCTCACACATCCTGTCCAGATGAGAAGCCCACCCACCCGCTGTAACTGGTGCTCCCCTCTGCCCATCGCAGCCAAGGGCACTGCCGCCCAGCACAGCCAGCATCCCGGAGTGCCCCTGCCCCTCTGCCTCTCAGGCCCACCTCTCACCTGCACCTGCAGCAAATGCCAGCATGGGGGTGCAGCTTTCAGATCCAACCCTCCCGCCACCTCACCTTGCAGCCGGGTGGGTCTAGCCTGGACTGGACTCTCTGCTTCCACCTTGCCCCTCTTGCCACCTTTCAACCCGCCCCCAGCAGCCTCCTAAGTACAGTGGACTCCCACACTTGGAACTGCGCCAGTGACCACAGATGCTCCTGGGGGAGCCGGCCCCTCTCCAAGCCCACCTCTCATGGCTTCCGATGGCTCCGCCCTGCCCCATGTGCCCATGTGCTGTCCTTCCTGCTCCCAACCTCACCAGGCACACCCCAGTCCTGGGGCCACCCGTCCTCCCTCCAAGGCTGCCCTGCAGGTCTTTGTGTGCATGTCCCTGTGTCCCTTCTCAGTGACGCCATCCTTGGCCGCCGGTCCTGTGCCTCTCCACACCCTGCCCCTCCCTGCGCCATCTTTCCCTCCCCCGACATGCGGGGCTCGTCACCTTGTGATCTCTCCCACACCGGCATCTACGGCTCATGCATCTCTGTCTTGTGCAAGGCGGGGTCCCCAGGGCACACAGTAGGTGCTCAGTCAACCCTATTGAATGAAGGAGGACCAGTTCCCGCTCCATAGAGCAGTGAGGGGCTAGGCAGAGAACCAGAATGTGCCGGTGGGCTGCAGATGGACCTGGGGAGTGTGTGCCGTCTGAAATCCTCCACATTTGATTTTTTAAAAACGTTTTTATTGTGGATGCATATAACGAAACTGACCGTTTTTTGGCTGAAATCCACGTGTAGTATTTTTGGCTCTGCCTCACGGACCTGGGTGCAGCAGGTTCTTGGGAAGTTCTTGGATGGTGACAGCCCTGACCTCTCTTCTCACACCAGGTGTCTCAGGGTCTGTCCTGGGTTCCGAGCCAGAGTGCGGGGCCAGCATGGCCCTGGTGCTGCCAGGTGAGCGGTGGTGCAGGCAGCAGCCTGGCTGCAGCATGGAGCATCTGGAGCCCGTGGGGGAAGTCCAGCCCCGGGCACTGTGCTGCACTCCCCGGGGCTGTACGTGGTCCCAGCCCTGCAGCACTGGACCTTCTATGGTGTCCTGTGGTGTAGTCATCCCTCTGCCCAGCGCCAGGCTCCGTGGACATGAGCGTCAGCCAAGAGCATGTTAAAATGCAGGTTCTGGCTCAGGAGGGTTGGAGTCTAAGACTGTATTCTTTTTTCCTTTTTTCATTCACAAACACAAGTGCACTCCAAAGGGCGGGCACCCTCCACAGGTCTGTGAGCACCTGGGGTGTTTCAGGCTGGCTGGGATCCAGAGCACAACTGGCCCGTGGCTTCTAGCGCTGCAGTTCCATTCCCCAGGCTGGCTCCGAGGTGGCCAGTCTAACATGGGCCAGGCCAGGCCACTGCCGCTGGCACTTTAGGACACACTCTCCACAATCCTCCCTCCTGCCCTTCGTGCCTGGGCGGCCCCCTCCGCAGCAGGGCAAGTGTGCAGATTTACGGAGGACCGTGCTGAGTGGAGGCCCTGGAGGGAATGGGTTTCAGGGTTCAGAGACTTGCTCTGTGAGGGAGCAGGCTGTAAATACCTTTGACTCCATGGCCCACGCTGTCAGCTCTGCTGCTGCAGCGTCAGCCCAGCTGTGGAAGGCAGGAAGTGACAGGCAGGACTGTGTGCCAATCAAGCTTCACTTACCAAACCAAGTGATAGGCCGTCCGGGTCTGAGGGCCGTGGCTTTCCAACCTCGGTTTCATATCACCCAGGATCTTCCTCCTCCCTGATGCCCACTCTCTCTGCCCCAGTTCCCAATGGGTCTCTGCATTTTCTCTGTGTCCCCTCAACACCCTCTTACTTTGCCAAAGCAGCCCCTGGTGGTCCCCAAACTTGCTCCTTCAGGGTGTCCGAGTGCCTCTGTCCATGGCAAGGTGGACGGTATGAAGCCCCCGGGTATGCGGGAGCTGGCGTCCCCTGCACAGGGCAGCCCCGCATTTCCTCGGTGTCATTCCAGGTCCCCATGGACGTTC